AAGAGACCAGTTCCAGAAACTCACAGCCAGGGCAAAGACATCTGTGTCATCCCCATCGGAGGTGCACATTCTGCTCAGAGGCCAGTCCTCCATTACACGGACCAGTGTTGGCAGCACTTTCGCCATTGTTAGTCTTGACGCGCCAATGGCTCTCCACATCATTGCAGCAGCTCTGTGGGATCAGGGCTCTGTGTCAGGGGCGTCTCAGTCACAGTGCCATGCCCTGTGCAGCTCTGGGGGGCACAGGGGACAGAGCCCCGGTGCCCTGAGGGGCAGGCAGGGATCATTGGCAGCAGGCTCGGCAAACAGAGGGGCCCGAGGGTTCTGGAGCTCTCTGCCTGTCTGGCAGACCCCCTTGGACAGGCTGGGATTGGCCACGGGCCCTAAAGGCTGGTGAGCCCTGAGCTCTCAAGGCACTTGGGCCCTGTACCTGTCACACGTTGGGGCACAGCGCAGGAGGGTCAGCACCACGTCTGCAGGGTGTTCTTCAGCCAGCCTCACAATGTCACTTTGCAGCCTGGCCTCCACAGTGTCATGGGACACCAGCCTCTGGTGGATGTTCCTTACAATGGCTGGCACCTGGAGGAGGCATGGGGGAGACTTGGAGCGGTCTCCAGTGGGTGCAATTTCTCCAGCTTCCCCCAAGAAGTGCTTCCCTTCCCACCACACTGTGCTGGCCTCAAAGGCCCAGTGGGGACCCAGTGAGCCTGGCTTGAGGGGACACACGGTCCTGGGAGGCCTCCAGGCCTGGCCCCAGGCTGCTCACCTGCTGCTGAGAAGGAACAGCACTCTCCTCGAAAAAATCCATAGGAGGAGCATGAATAACAGTGGCAGTGGGCATGGTGTCAATATTGGTGATGGCCTCAGTCTCTCTGCTGTTGGCGTTTGTGATGGCCACACCCTGTGCCAGTGCCTTGTCTCCCTTTGCTCTGTCCTCATACATTGCAGCGTCAGAGTCTTGTGAGAGCTCAGCCAAATCCAGGCTGACATCAGGCTCTGCCTGGAGCTCGCTCAGCCCCGAGTCAGGCTCGGCTGGGCCCTCAGCTGCAGTGCTCCCGGTCTCTCTACGCTGAATGCGCAGGAACTTGCGGAACATCTGCTGCGGAACAAAGGACAGGGAAGCCAGGGCTGCTCCGTGGCATGCTCGAAGCGTAGTACACGTCTGAACCGGGACAGCAGGCCCAGCCCAGGTGGGGATGGCTGCAGGTACCTTCAGGGTTCTGCGGAAGCGACCACGGCAGGGTTTCTGTGCTTGTGTCCCGTCCTGGGATGCATCTGGCAAAGAGCGAGCGCAGCCAGAGCTGAGGGGCTGCGGGAGAGGCCGGAGAACACAGCCCAGCCCTGCGCGCCCCGGGCAGGGACAGCCCCGGGATGCCCCATGGGGAAGGCGCACGGCCACTGCGGGGAGTCTGCCCTGCCCCTCTTCCGTCCTATCCATGGGCATGTCCCCAGGGGATGGGATGGGATGGGGCCAAGCTGGCTGCAGCCATCAGCTCTGTGGCCCAGCTCTGCCACTCACCATCCTGCAGTGTCTGGATCTGCTCCGGCTCTTCAGGCTGTTCTGCTGGGGCAGCTCCAGGGCCTTTCTTTTTTTTCCCCCTGAACACTTTGAACAAGCCAAGGAATCTGCCTGCCATGCCAGAGTCTGGCCTTGAGGACATCTTAAAGAGAGGTGCCTCGGGATATTGCCAAGTCAGCAAGTCTTGCACTTGTGCCTTGAAAGCACCTGTGACAGAGAAGCCTCAGGAAGGCAGCAGCACAGCAAGTCCTGCACTTTGGTCTTGAGGACTCCTGCCAAAATCACAGGAGACTCCTCGATAACGATTCAGGTCACCAAATCCCACGGTCTGGCCTGGCGTGCACAGGCCACAGGAATAGGAGATGTCTTGGAAAAGATCCAAGTCACCAAGTGCCACAGTCTGGCCGTGAGGCCAGCGGCAGGAACAACGCCTCAGAAAAGCTCCGGGTTGGACGCGAACGAGTGCGCTGTGCGGGGGCTCCTCACAGCGCCGCTCTGTCCCGTCCTGTCCCGTCGCCTGCTCTGAGCGTTGTGGAGTGCTCTTGTCACTGCCAGCTCCTATGTCACCGCGTGTCACAAAGGACACACTCTTCCATTCCATGCCACAGTGACCGTACTGCAGCGTGTCACAAAGGGCCCTTGCCCACACTGCCACCTGCCCTGGGCCGCCCCCAGCCCACCCAAAGTGGCCCCGGTTGGCAGGAATCCCTAGCCCCAGGTGTCTGAGACAGCCCGACAGGATCTTTAGGAAGGGCTTGGTCCATCAGCAAACGCTGCCCTGCAGCAGAAGGAGCCCCCAGGGCTGCTGACGCAGCCGCGCTGGCAAGGGCACAGGGCCTTCCACAGAAGCTGGCACGGCCTCCTTGGGACACGTCCCGGCTGCTGGCCATCCTAAACCCGCGGGTGTGACGGGCGCAGGGAACATGTGGGAAAGGGCACGAATGATGCTCTGAGCCCTGGGGCCCCGGGAGCGCTGGCATCAGCAGGCGTGGCAGAGTCCCCGCCCAAGCAGACCTGCCACCCTCCCTGGGCCATGGCAGCGCTGGTGCCCCTCTCCTGCCCCAGAGACCTGTGCCCCGGGGGGCTTCTGTGCCACAGGGAGCCAAAGCCCACGGGCACTGGGGGCTGTGCTCCTTCCTGTAGGGGCTGTTGGCGGGAGCACCTGGAGCAACTGCTGCAACACTTGGTGTCTGTCAGAAGCTCTTACTCCGTGCTGGAATTCTTTTCTCATTGAAGTAGCTTTCTGCAGCACAAACACATCATTACCATGAAGACAGAGAAAAATCAGGCATTAAAGAATCCTTACTTCAGGAAAGCTTTACTTCCCCATTGCTCAACTCAAGTACTTCCAAAATTGGCAAACTTTGCCAATTTATTGGGATGGCCTGGGAATGTGAATGATTTGCAAGTTTGCATCCCATCTTGAAGCAGCAACTCATGTGCCTTATCATCCACTGAATGTCACTTTACAAAAATAACACTACACAGAAGCAAAAAGAAGGCCATTCTTTGGTTTGCAAGTGGATTTCGATGAAGGGATGATAATACAGTCATTCTCTTAATGAATAAAAGCTCTCAAAAAATTAAGGTCCACTCAGTATTACAAGAGTAGCCCAAAAATGAGTAGATGGCAAAAGGGTTAATCCTTCCCCTGCTACACATATCTAAGTGGTGATAAAGTACAACACTCCCCTCTTGCTCCCGGGCTCCACGGGCACCCGGCTCGGGCCCACAGGAGCCTGGGGAAGAGCCCGAGCGACCTCTGGGTGCAGCAGCGGGCAGGGGCACAGCTGCCAGCCCCGCACGCTGAGCCCCGCGCTCAGGGGCCTTCTGCAGGCTGAGGCTGGGGTTGCAGGCTGGCCTTACCAGGCAGTTGGCAAAAATCCAGAGTTTCTCTTTCTTCACCAGTTTTTCAAGATCTCGCTTCTTTAGGAACTTGACTGCACAAAGTAGCGTTTCCCGAGAGGCCTGGACAGCAGCAGAGAGGCAGAGATGGCCCCACAGCACAGGGCAGAGGAGCTGCATCCCTGTGCCATGGCCTGGAGGAGGCTGCAGCCCACCAGGTGCCAGGGCAGGAGGCAGCCAAGCCGCCTCCCAGGGGGGGCAGCAGCAGCCCACAAGTCCTCACCTCTGCCACACGCCGATTCCCATCATGGCAGTGGAAGAAAAGTGTGAGTAGGCTCTGACACACTTGTGTCTTCAGGGCCTTTCTTTTCTTTTCCACTGGAAGAGTCAGCAATGTTCGGAAGAGCCATATGGAGAGCAGCTGTACCTGTCTATTACACTGTATGAAGAGAAGAAAAGAAGCCCTCAGCACGGGCTGTGAGAGGCTCAGCTGGGCGCAGGCCTGAAAATCCACAGGGCACAAAGTGCCTGGGCAGCACCCAGTGGCCATGGCTGGGGCCACAGAGCCTTACGTTGTCAAAGAGTAGCACAAGTGCCTCAGCCAGCTGCAGGGCGATCAGGCTGGGTATTGGTGTGTCCTTGTCCAAGATTATAAAGCTAAGTACCATGACTGTTATCTTAACTGTCTCTCCATCTGCATCCCGCAGGAGCTTCACAAGACATGCAGTCAGGCTCCACATTTTTTTGGTCTGTGCGGAACACAAGTCTATGAAATGCCACCCTGCTGCTGCGGGGCCTAGAGGCCAAAGGCCTGTCCTGAAGCACTCGGGCAGCTGAAGCGGGAGGCAGGAGAGCTGCGAGCAGCTGCCCCAGTGCCCCAAGCCCAGTCAAGCCAGGGCAACTGTGTTCCCAGCGCATCTTCAGCCACTGCCCCCTTCTCACCATCAAGGGATCGTCAGTGAGCTTGAGAAGTGCTTTGAAAGCCAGGCGTCGCCTCTTCTTGCACTCGCTCCACAGGTTCCTTGAGAAGATTTGCAGGACTCTGTCAGCATCATCTTCACTCAATTCCAGGCACTCGAGGACCTGAAAGGCACAGGGCACTGATGGGGGACCCGGCCGGCCGGAGTCCGGAACCGCACGGGGCCGGGCCCAGGCAGCAGCACAGGGCACGGGCACCGTCCCAGGCGGCTGCGGCTACGAGAGGGCAGAGAGCTGGGAGGCAGCTCAGCGAGGTGGTGCTGGCCTTCAGGCTCACCTCCACAAGGAAAGCCAGGGCGGGAAGATGCCAGCGTGGCTCCAGTGTGCTCAGCAGCTGGAGCAGGTAGTGAAGGATCCGGGAACACAAGGGTTTGGAGACACAGGACATCTCCCTGGAAGAAGAAAACCTCAGCAAGACTGTGAGCCAGGGAGACAAATGGCTCCCAGGACTGACTCACAGAGGTCTGGTCTTTCTCCAGCATCCTGCAAGTGCACCTGGGCCATTTAGGAGGTGGCTTCTTGTGGGCATCCTCCTCTGGCGGACATTTCCAGCCTCCTTGGCCATCTCTCAGAGACAAGGCTCTCTGGCCCACGACCATAGGGACCGTGTGGGGCACCCCGAGCAAAGAACACAGATGTTATCCTGGGAGTCTGTCAATTATAATACATCCTGTATGTATATACTAAAGAAAAACAAAAAGAAGAAAAGAACAATGTTGAAGAAACTGAAAATTGCTGCTGGCACAGGTGGTCCCTGCAGACAGAGCCTTTGGCATCAGCTCTTCGCAGAGCTCCAGCAGACCAGGCACCCGAGCCCCGAAAGACGAAGCCGTGTCTTCCACACCCTGTGAAGCTGATCTTGCAGGTTCTGTAAGGTGGAATATCGTACTCTGTGTCTTGCCCTGAGAATATGCAAAGTCTGAATTGCCAGGCATCTGACACCGAGGCTGATGTCATATACCATTTCTTCAAGGGCTGCAAGAGAGAGGAACAGAGCCATGGTCAGATTCCCGATCTGTGGGGAGCAGAGGAGAGCCCCCTGCCAGGGCCATCCCAGCCTGTACTACGTGTGGCCAGGAGAGAGCAGGGACCAAGGGGATCAGGTAGAAGCTGGTGGCCATGAATACCCCATATGGCCCTAAAATCCCAGTGTGCTCTGCCCACGGGAGCAGAGCCCTACGCAGCTGTGGCACGGCTGGCAGCTCCCCCCGCTGTCAGGCCCCGCTGCCAGCCCGCTGCCTTCACTCACCCTCACAGATCAGCTGGAGCTCTTCAGTCTTCCCCTTCAGGTGCCGCCCGGCGATCCCTGTGAACACAGAGCCTGTCACGGCGCCAGCGGCACAGCTCCCTGCCACACGCCCCGCTGGCCCGGCAGGGCTCGGCCCGGGCCCTTGCCGCACGCTGCCGCCCAAGGAAGGGCACGGCTGCCAGAGGGAGGCAGCAGCGCCCCGGCCAGGCGGGGCTCCGCGGCGCCGGGCTCGGATGGCGCTGCCGGGGATGTACCAA